GTAAACTGTCTCTCAAATCACAAATAAAAATTAACAGAAGATACACTGTCTTTTCTTGTAATCACACAATCTTCATCTGGCTTAGTGACATCTAGAAAAATGAACTAAGAGATAACACACAATTTATTAAAAATCGGAACGTTATGATTTATTAGAGAATCAACAGCGACAACTGTAATGCTGTGGAGGATAAAACAGCATGTTTACCAGCAAGGTTCTTCTCTTTGAAGTAACAAAAGCCAGTAAAATGGAAACTGTATTTACGGGTCTGAAACAGATTCTCAAGGTAAGGAAAGTTGCACACAAGAATATATTTTGGGTATAAGTAAATCAGCTATACAGTTAGCAGCATTCAAAATCAGCAATTACAAAACCAGATTCATGTTTGAACAAAGTGTTTTTCAAAACTCCTGTTGGAACAGGCACAATGTTCTGAGGGCATAGAAATTCTCAGGAGCTTTTGAATGCTCTCACCCCAACTTTCACCTCCAAACCTACAAATGCAGCGAAGGATCAGAGCCCAGAGGTGTGCTTTTGTGTTTTCCCCTTTGTTCAAGGTTGCCAAGTCACAAGAATGCAATGAAAAGGCAAAATAAACACTTTTCACAGCAGAGAGCACAAAATTGAACGTAAACCATGCTCCTTTTGAGATGACACAAATACAAGGTTCATTTGTACTTTGAATGAGACTCATTATCTCTCCTTGCCGCACAGAAATTAAACAGACCGAGAGCAACACTCAGCCTCAAATTGATCTACAAGGATGACTCAGGAGATCAGATAGTTATTATATCAGGAACTTTTTGTCCAGGGTGTAGTCATTTTTCTTAGCACTTAATTATTAAATGTAGTGACACTACTTTGTTGCAAATATGTATGAGGAGACCAGAAAGATCATGGGAAAACGGAAACGAAAGATAATGGAATTTTCCCACCAACTTTTTGAAGCCCCCCCCTCCTAACTTTCGATTGTTTATTCTAATGCTGTGAACTGACCTTTCATTTTAAGCAGCCAAATTTTCTCCTGGCCAAAGGACTCACTTTTCACTGATTTCAGATCAGTCTATTAATATATATAATTTTCTACCTTTCTAAGTCCATTATCAGCTCACTCAGAAAGGGTGACATTATATTTCCCATTTACATTACAAAGGCTCGGCAGCTGCTTCAATGGGCTACATTCATAAGAGCCAGGTAGAAGACTGTGCCAGAATGTCATGGGGCCGTGGCAACAGCAGACACCACACCGTGGTAACCAACAGCAGTGGGTATCAGGGCCTGCGTGCATCAACAGGGATTCTGGAGCAGAACTGGGGACAACCAAAGATGGACTGCACCCTGTCTCCTGAGTGGGCTGGGCCCAAGCAACCAGCACAGAACTTTTCTCTCCACTGGACTGAAAACTCTCCAGGTCACAGTATTTCATACAAGCATGAAGTGGTCAGAATTAGAAAATAACTGACAGTCATGTGAGTGCCCAATCAACTTTTTAAATCGGAATTTCAAAAAGATTTAGGTTTCTAGTTATTTTGTTGCATTTATACATATACATAAGTATCCAAGAGTTACAGACATAAATCTGTATTTGAGGTCCTTTTTTCTTTTTCCAAAGGCTATCTGCAAAAGAACTTTATAATCTGAAATGTACCCAAAAATGAAAAAGCCTTTAGATTACAATAGATTTTAATTATGACAAAATCTGGCAAAATGGTTAAAAATACCTAATACTTTATTTGCAGCAAAGGAGGTTGAACGATTAGGTGTGGGTTTTCAGTAATTATAATCCTGAAGTTCAGTTCTAATCTGAAGCAAAGGACGAAGGCCTGGTGCCAGCTGCCTCACAGTAAAACCCACAGCTGCAGTTCCGTTTCCGAGCTCATCCACGCAGGCCCACCCGACACAGCACACCTTAGGGCCCAGGCAGGCGAGCAAGGGCAGAAGTCAAACGAGTACCTCCCACCCTGCCCGCCACTTCCGTACTTTAAAAAAAAAAGAAGTGGTCCCCTTCTTAATTATTCTAATAAAAGGATCCAAAAGGAAGTTTATTTTGACTGCATTTCATGACTTTATTTCTTGTTCTCTCAGGCTGATAATCCACAAAACCCTCATGTAAGGTGCTGAGTAGTGGACAGCAACCCTGTAAAAAGGCTCCACTGGGGCTAGTGTTTCACCCTTTCTCAAGGCAAGACAGCCTGCTTGTGGGAGAAGGAGCCTCAAGGCACAGACATGGGGAAGCGGTCACTGGGGCACAGTCATGCAGGAAGACAGTAGGAAGACGGGGAGCTGGGGCCAGGGCATCAGTGAGCAGTCCCACAGAGCTGCCTGACAGCAAAGCAGCCCTCGCTAGGGGCTCCTAACACGAAGGAAGGGGGCAGGAGGGCTGGAGAGCCGCTCTCCTTCCGACATCGCCATCGCCCAACCAGGAGGTTCCTGGGGGACAGTGCTCAAGGCAGGGATCCCACGCCATCAGAAGCATTCACCGTGGGTGGACACCAAGTTGTCTCCTGGTTCACACTTGACTCCAATTCAAGAACTCCTCCTTCACCCAGCAGTCAGTGTGGTAAGATGAAAGGCAAGTATCAGGAAAAATGGGCTCACTGCTGGCCACAGGGTCTAAAGCACAGTTTCTCCAGTACTCAGCTCTCCTACCAGGCTGTTTTTAGCCAGTGCTGTTGCTTGGTAACCGCTTTCAGCAAACCTGAAATAGAGTTCTTCCATCCCATAGTCCATCAGACAAAAATCAGTAAGGGAACCACCAAATGATAAGGCAGCAGAAGAAAACATTGAAGGGTCCACACGCAGGGTCACCCAAGCGCTGCCTAGTGCCTAGGCTGCAGCTATCTGAGACCACACTACTCTAGGCAAAGCCTGTAAGACTGATCCCCTGATGGCACAGTGGTTAAGCTGCTAACTACAAGGGCAGCAGTTTGAAACCACCTGCCACTCTGCGGGAGAAAGATTCGCCTTTCTACTCCCGTAAAGACTCACAGTCTTGGAAACTCACAGGGTCAGTTTGACCCTGTTAGGGTGGATGGGAGTCGGCAACAACCAGACCAGGATGGCAGTTTGGGGTTTTGCCAGGAACACCTCCCCATCGCCCCCTGCTGGTGATATCTGATACAACTTCCTTAACCTCGGCCTTCCTTCTCTACCCGTGGTGTTCAGAGACAGGACCGCTGGTATAGCAGTCACCGTGAATGTTCAATGGCATCAATGCCCGGCAATGTCTACAGCACTGGACATGTAGCCTAAAGTAAGTAAAGATCTGCTACATAAACAGAGGGTTAGAGATGAGAGATGCGCATCCTGTTGCCTTCGAGGGCCATCAATGAGCCATAAGGCTCTGATCCCGTTTTGACAGATGTGCAAACTGAGGAACCAGAAGCAAAGTAGCCTGTTCACCATGACACAGCTGACAAGTGACTGAACTACATGACTACCACTACGCTACACATCGCCGAAGCAGTCGGATCCAGCCAATGGAAAGGGCACGGGAAGAGGGGGCTGCTGTGTAGCCTTGCCGGCTACAGCAGGGGGGTTGGAGGTCACGGTGACCAGCCTATCCTCACGCTAGCTCTAGAAAATAAACCATGAGCCCGCCGACCTCCTCACCAGAGTCCTTCTAAAACAAAACTGTCTCCTGCAAGTTCCCAAGATGTGCAGAGCCCACAAAAGCCAGAGAGCAGCACACAGCCTCCCTTCCTGCCTGTAGGAGTCAGCCAGCCACAGGCAAGGTCCTGGTATGCAGAAACCCTGCTGATCAAGATAGGGCACTTATGGACCAACAGCAAGGAGCTGAAACGTGCCGCCCTACACTTCCTGTGCGCCCAGGCACACGTTTGCAAAAGGCTGGAGGGTAGCTCAGGAGCCTTAACAGAGACCGAGACTAGAACAGAAAAAGCACAGGTGTGGCTGATGAAACCAGAGGAAATGGTTACTGGAAGTATCATGAACGCCGCACCAGGACACACTGGGTTGTGGAGGAGGCCTGAAGCTGGGACACTGGGCTCTGACCTCAGCCCTGCTGGGGCTCTGAGGAGATCCAGTACCC